TGTCGGCTGGTCTTTTGTACTAAGTCTTGGTACCCGCGCCGCAAACTACTAAATGGAAAAAATGAGCCTCGATCAGTATTCGAATCCACGACCATCCGCGTCCCGAGCGCGCTCTCTACCAACTGAGCCAATGAGACTTCTGCAGACTTGAAGCTTATCTCCGCTGTCGCTCACACCCCGAAACATATGGCTGGCAGAGGGGCAAAAGGCAAAAGGGTTCGGTCGACTAGATTCGAACCAGCGACTGTTTGCGTACCGGTCCATCACTTCAGGTGTCGCACGGCTGTGAAGTCATGGCCAGCCAAGCGCGAAAAATATCACCGGTGTTATAGATTTGAACCAGCGACCAGGTCCACACCGGGCCAGGACCCTACCGACTTGGCCACGTCGGAACGATACGAAGCACAACGTTCGGCGGCATCCAGATCTCAGCTGTGACTGACGCCCGAAGACACTCGGCCAGCAGAGCAGAAAAAAATGATCGCGGGCGGGATTCGAACATCGGACCATCCCCACGGTCACGACCTGCGAACGATCACGCATTAAGACGCTCGGTTACCAGCTTGCTCCTCGACCACCAGCTTGCTGAGATCACTGCTTAGGCACGGCTGCGACGATGGAACTTCTCTATGCAAAAGTAAGAATCAGATGCGCGTCGACTAAGTCGCTGGCGCTTGAGAAACCCAAGTAGGAATTTAAGCCGTGACTATCACGGCGTGACGTCAGAATTGTCTCTCATTTTGACGTATTTCTCTGCACTCATCCTGATGTCATTGTGTGTAAAGGGGGGGGGGGGTCACGACAATAAGTGCATCCCATCACAAGTCAGAGTTCTAGACTTTTCGTAGGTAAGGTGTTCTCCTGGGCTGGCTGGCTATCTCCTAGGCAGGGACTCAAACCCCAAATCTAGACGGGTATCGTGCGATGGCGTTCGATAGTTCAAGTTACAGTGCAGAAGTTGGCAGTACCGGAGGGGGGGAAGACTTCAAGCGCGGTGGCGCGGTAGTCGCGCCGGTCGCGCCACTCTAGATTGGGCGAGGCGCGCCGTCCTGTTGGATCAATAATGCGCACCTCGAACCGTGAGGCCCGCATCCTTCTGCCGCTCCTCCGCGCGGCTTTCAAAGAAGACTAACTGTCGTGAAGCTGCCCAAAAAAGATAGATTCGCGGACCGCGACGAGAGCGTGAAACAAAAATTCGAAAGGAAACATGTCCACCTTCTCGCCGGCGAGGAGTCTCAGCGACGTGGAGAGCTTCGGCGACCACGTGGGGGACGGTGGCGACGGCGACCTCGGAGGCCTCCACCACGAGGACGAGTCGTTGTCGTCGTGCGGTGACGGCGTCCACCTCAGCGCGCGCAGCTCGAATCTGATACGGCTCGAGAATGGAGAATTCATGGGTGAGGCTGAAGGGCTTTTTTATTTTCGCACCGATGCACACATAGTTGTCAAATAAATGACAGAATTCGTGATTCGCAGACGCCGACGACCTCGCCAGGTGCTTGGACGAGCTGGACAACGCGCTACCCGCCACCGGACCGAGCTGGCAGCCCGTCCAGACCAACCCCCAGCTCATGCGCCCGCCCCACTGCAGGGTGAGGGCATGTTGTGTATCCAGTTGAGGCGATGACCGGTCTGACCGCCGACCTTTGGATGCTGTTATTTTCCTCCGATTCATTTGTGCAAATAACGGGAGCTCGGCGCCTGCGAGACTCGGAGTAGGCCATCCCGCAGTACACGCACGCACAGCAGGCAAGATATTGCCTACCTACCAGGCGCTAGAGGGGTTGCAGTTTCGTAACGACAAATGATGGACTTACTTTCTGGGTGATCCCAAACGTTCCACGTGCCAGTCGTCGGCCATCTACCCGTGCTTTGGCGCTCGGGAGAGGCCCACCGCCGCCGTCCCCACACAGCTGCTTGGCGGGCTGGCCTACCCTGCGCGTCGCAGGCGCTATCGTTAGCAATGCGTAGTCTACAGTGGCCCGAACTATGACATTTTTTCCATAAAGGGTAACAATCTGTGTTCGCCGAGGAGATCAGAAAACTTAAACTCGATATGGCAGGGGAAGGGAGGCGGGTAGTCGTTGCACTGAGCCGTTGTCGCTGGCGCGATTGTTCGCTAACTGAACACGGACTGAATCAAGAACCAATGTTCTCTTTTCGGTCCAGCGCGAGGCCGTCGTCAGCGTGGTGTCGCTGAGGACGGCGTCGACGTTCTGCTACGCCGTCATCTCGCGCCTGGGCCGCGTCGGGGTGTACGACGCGGCCCTGGCCCTCCTGGACTCGTACACGCTGGAGATGGGCTTCACGCACCCGCACGCCAAGGTAAACGTCCGAGGGAGAGAGATTTTGCATCTGCTCCGATTACCACCCCTTGCTAACCGCGTGACCGGCGTCACGTCCAGTTAGATAGGGATCGGGCGCGAGGGAGACCTCCGTGAGCCTCGCCAGCACACCACGTGGGTCAACGACGCCGTCTTCCTCCCGGACGCACAGATGCTCGTCGTCGCCTCGTCAGACAGGTGAGTGCTCGAGGCGTGTGCCATGCCGACCGCGACGGTGGAGCGACGGTTCCCCTTACCCGCGCCCTCATATAACCCCCAGGTCGCTGACGATGCTGGACGCGTCCCGGCTGCTGCACTGCCGGCGCTGCGAGGTGCGCAGCCTCCCGGCGGCGGCGCGCTGCCTGGCCTACGCCCCCGGGGACGCCGCGGCCGCCACGCCGTCCCGCCTCTTCATCGGCGACGAGGCCGGCAGCATCATCACCCTGGCCTTCATGCAGCCCAAGCGCGCGCTGCTCCGGCCGCCGGACGCGGAGAACAAGAGCACCTTCTTCTTCTGGCCCGAGCTGCGCCAGCAGGCGGACTGGGTCACGGTGCAGCAGGAGCACAAGGTGCACGGCGACGCGGTCAGCCGCCTGTGCTACGAGGCCCACAACGACACCTTGGTCTCGAGCAGCCGCGACCCGGAGCGCACCCTCGTCATCAGGCACCTCGCCGGCCGCAGAGAGCCGTACGTCTTCAGCCTACCCAGGGTGAGCGTGCCGACGTGCCGGGGGGGCCGCCAAGGCTTACTGAAACACGGTGCTGACCGTGCTGAACGCTCTGCCGCAGGGGGCCAGCTGCTTCGTGCTGGACCGGACGCAGCAGCTCCTGGTGACCGCTGGTCGAGACGCGCTGGTGCGCCTGTGGAACCCTCTGGTGCCGAGCCAGCCGCAGGCCACGCTGCACGGCCACAAGCACCCCGTGCTCGACGTGGCCATCGTGCACGAGCTCGTCGTCAGCATGGACCTGTTTGGGGTGAG